GGGGTTTCCGGCGCCGGGTGCTTTTTTCGTTCCTTTTGTTTCGGGTTTAACCCCCCCCCCCCCCCCCCCCCCCTCCCAGACCGCTTTTCAAAGGTGAAGTACTATTCCGAAGCAGAAGCAGCGCCGGTGGCGGTGTTGAAATCGTCTCGTCGAACGAGCTTCACGAAAATGTGTCACATGGTTTTGTGGTACACAACTCTTTGAACATCCTCTTCGTCGAGGAGTAATCGAGCTTTGAACATCGGTCCAGGGGGAGTGGTATCTTACGTACGTCACCTACGGTAGTCTACGGCCTGTTGCAGGCTTTGGGTGCCGAGGCTCACTTCGGGTGTATGTAGATAGGTGATGCGTGATATGTGTTTGGGGCGAAACCGTACGTTTAAGCTATCTACGAGTGATGCCGCCGGAGTGGGTCCATGAGAGCAGATCAGTGTCGTCAAGGGCTGTGATAAAAGATGAGAGATGAGAACAAAAGGCAGCAGGACCAACCCACAGCCCGCTGCCCCCTGCTGCTGCGGTGTGACATGTCCCAAGCTCACACAGCTGACGTGTTTTTGACTCGAACAGCCCAGTTAACCCCATCGAACCAAAAAGAAAATTTACAAATGTGTATTCTAAGCAGTCTTGAAATTCGTGTTCTCCGTCTGCCTCGTGTGTTTGTGCGACAACCTCTCCGTGGCTGATGACGGCGTTTTGTTTCTTCCGCACTAAATTCCTTGTCTTTTTTTGTTTTCGTTGACGGCGACAAAAAGGTTGACGGAGCTGAAGCGGAACCTGATGGCGGCCCCGTTCGATCGAGCGTTCGACGCGCTGAGGGAGGGGAGGGGTGGGAGCGTGCCCCCGGCGGCGATCCCGTGGCGGAAGAACGAGGTGGTCTACGTCGTGCCCCAGGTGCTGCCGACTTGCTTCTTGTTGCTGTTGTCGTTGTCGTTGTCGTTGTTGTTGTTGTTGTTGCTGTTGTTTGTTGTTGTGTGTTGTTGTTGTTTGGTGCTGTTGTTGTTGCTGTTGTTGTTGCTGTTGTAGTAGTAGTAGTAGTTGTTGGTGGTGGTGGTATTGTTGTTGTTGTTGATGTTGTTGGTGGTGGGTGTTGTTGTTGTTCTTGTTGTTGCTGTTGTTGCTGTAGTAGTAGTAGTAGTAGTTGTTGTTGTTGCTGTTGTTGTTGCTGTTGCTGTTGCTGTAGTAGTAGTAGTAGTAGTTGTTGTTGGTGGTGGTGGTATTGTTGTTGTTGTTGTTGTTGTTGATGTTGTTGGTGGTGGGTGTTGTTGTTGTTCTTGTTGTTGCTGTTGTTGCTGTAGTAGTAGTAGTAGTTGTTGTTGTTGTTGTTGCTGTTGCTGTTGTTGTTGTTGCTGCTGTCGTTGTTAATGCTGCCGTAGTAGTGCTGGTGCTGGTTGTTGCGGCTCTCGTTGCCGTTGTCATAGTTGTGGCCCGTGGTGAGTCTTGTCCCCATTCTCCCTCTCGTGCGGTACGAAATAGTCTCGACGTTTGAGTGTTCCCGGGGGTAGGTTGTGCTGGAACTGGGGCTATGAAAAGGTTTCTTGGCGAAGAATTCGCCCCCTGTTCCGGGCTACGTAGACTTGACAGCATTGGCAAATTTGTCCACATCCGTGAGGGCCTCCATTTTGGTTTATTCCGCGGAAGGTGCAACATGCGACAGCAGTACAGTACCATCCCGGTCGCTACTGTTGTTTTGCCCTGGCATGCATATCATGTCACGCGGGATTCGACGTCGATGACTGGATGATGGTGACCGTGCTGCGATCATCATGCGTGAAGATACTATTGAGGACACACCGATTGTACCCCCAATATCGACAATAAAGTTACCACAATCTTTTTCGCTGTTCATCCGGTGCCAATCCCCCCCCCCCCCCCGACATTTTTTTCCCCCGTTGTATCCCTTCAACCCTCCACGCGGCGGGAACCGTGACCCGCAGGCGGATCGCGTCACGGTTATTTTCGCGATCGATTTCACGGAATCTGACGAGAGGGCTATTGCCAAGGTCAGTGGACATGCAACATTACTCGCGATGAAAAATATACCAGCATAAGTACTGTTGGGCTATGCTCTCAACATTTTTTTTGCTTCAAGCGTTCCGCGTTTTGTTGTGATTGCGGGCCTGTTTTTCAAAAGTTGCCGCTGTGTGATTTTTTTTTTTTTTTATGCCGTGGCATCCATGTATCGTAGATGGTTGTGTTATTATCGATATTTCCCCACTCTCCTATAGCGACTGCCCTTTCAATCGGGTTTCCCCCCCTCCTACTGCGGCTGGAAAAATACAAGGGAGGTACAGGGAGATGTTTGAGGCATGGAATAGAGAGAAGACGGTAGCTGTACTGGGGAGTAGGAAGTGGTTTGAAAAGGCGGGAAGTGATATCGTTAGGATAGATAGACTAGGGAAGACATTTTTGAACCACCTTTGGCAAAGTAGGAAGGAACGATTGGCCATCGGTGATCGGTCCTGCGGAAACAATGCTCTGTCCTCTCGAGGACGCGTGGCCAATGGTCTAACCGCTAAGGCATGCAAAACATAAGAGTACGCCCCCCTACTGCGGCTGCCCTCAGTCCTTCCTAATGGAGTTCGTGGACGCCCAGCGAGTGGCCAACAACTCCCCGCCGTGCACCTTCACGCCCGACGCGCCGCTGGAGCTCAAGAGCATGCCCATGCCGCCGAGCCACACGCCTGTGGGCTTTCTTAGTTTCGGTAAGAGTCATTTTTTTTTTTTTTGTGTCTGTTGGGTTAATATCGAGCATATCACGAAGAGCTGGGCCGATCTACGGTAGGTGACAGAGGATACCACCCCCCCTGGCAGCCGCACTGAAACTGACTGGTCAGCCGGTTAGCGCGGTGGGTGCTATTAGGAACGACACATTGACGGAACAATCGTTTTGAAGCAACCTAACCGAAGAACTGGTGGCCCGCTACGTGCGCGTGCGTGATGACGGAAAAATCCTGGAAAATTCCTGGAAATTGTCCGGGGCAGTGATCTTCCCTCAGCACGTCGACAGGGGCCGGCAGGAGAAGACCATTACGCTCCTCACGGGGTTCCGCAACTACCTGCACTACCACCTCAAGGCGACCAAGACGTACATGCACATGCGCATGCGGAAAAGAGTGGTCGGTCTGCTGCAGGGTAAGAGTCTGGTGGGGAGGTCGCTGCTGCTGCTACTGCTGCTGCTGCTGCGTGAAGGGTGTCGCAACGGTTGCCGGTCCAATCGTGTTGCTTTGTTCCGCCGCGGCTTGGCATGATCGCGCTTGTTTTGGTTGTAGCGAGAAGGGTGGCGTGCCGGAATTATGGCATGAACGGCCGTCGCAAAAACCCTGTTGTATGTGGCACCGCCTGAAATCTAGGAAAATTGTGCTGTTTTCGGTCCTGTGGGAACAGTGCTCCGTCCTCTCGAGGACGCGTGGTCAAAGGCCTAACCGCTAAGGCATGCAAAAACATGAGAGTACCCCCCCCCCCCCCTCCCCCCCCCCCCCCATTGCTTATCGTCCCATCCTCGCGCGCCCCCTCTTTGTGTGCGTTTTTTTTTGTTTGTTTCAGTGTTGAACCGAGCAGTACCCGAGGAGGAGGCGAAGGCAAAGAAGACCGCTAAGGGACGCACGTTCAATCGAGGATAAAGAAGTTTGTTGTGACACTCTGTAGTAGTTTAATTGTTGCTGGTAAATTAGTTGTCGTTGTTGAAGGAGTTCTGCCGGGAAGAGTTGTGGCTACAGTATTGGTAGCGGCAGACAACGGAACGAGACTGGCCGCCGAGCCTTGAGGGTCAACTAAAGGTGGTACTCTCTGCGTTGCTGCTTTGTTACTGCCGCACTCTGTGCGCTGCTTCTTTGTAACTGCCGCGGCGCATGTATGCGCTACTGCAGTTTTTGGTCGAGTATGCGGCTATACTTGGCATCCCGTCTTGTCTCCCTTGTTCTGTGACCTATTGGTGGAGCTGGGTCTGTAGAGTTGCGTTGTGTAGAGGATCGGCCATGCAGCACTAAATAGTCGCGGCGCTATTGGGGGGATTGTATGGTACTGCGGCTAGCGTGTGCCGAGGATGGCTTGTCGTGCCCTCTCTCTCTGTGCTGCCTCTTTTTTCTTTTAAGGATCTAAGACGGACTGACGCGTTTGGGTTATTGCTACAAACTCTCGGAGGTAGGCGATTGATTGTGGCCTGCGATATTGAGCTGTCTCAAGTCTGGGCAGCTCCGGGGTGACACCGGCGCGAACCCGCTGCAGGTCGACGACAGATGTGCGGGGGGATGCCCTGCGAGTGGACATTCGGCCCAGCGATGCCCAGCAGAGGATCACTCGCCAGGCCTCGTGGGATCGCTGACACAACCAACCAGCTGTGCTAGTCGGGGGCGAACTGCTCAGCTTTTCTTCGCCTTCCTGGCGCGCTCCCTCTGGGCCTCCTCCGACTCCTTGCCGTCCTTGTCGCCCTGTTGCTGCTCGTGGTGTCGCTCATCCCTCTCGACCTCCTCCGACTCCTTGCCGTCCTTGTCGCCCTGTTGCTGCTCGTGGTGTCGCTCCCTCTCGATCGCCTCGGACTCCTTGACGTCTTTGTCGCCCTTGTCGCTGCTGCACCACAGTTAGTGGAAGGGGGATGTGTTTGGAGTCTTAAATTAGACTTTGCAGTGAATTGCATGGGAAGGAACCGACTGGATACTGGGCTCAGTCTATAGCGTCTGTTTGAGTCTGTACATGTACACTGAACAATTTCTATCGGTGATGCCAGCCGGAACACGTCGCAGTGTTTGTTGACAACTCGCTGGATTTACTGCTGTCGATCTACATAAATGTACGGCAAATCGAGGCGAATGAAGTTCCCTGTGTGACTTGCTTGGATCCAGGTCCTGCCGACGTTGCTGACGCCACCTATCACGTTGTAGTATGTAGAACATCAGGACATTATTAGCACATGTAGAGAAGTGGTGTGGATATCTCAACTGATCCGACCAAGAAGCATGTTGACAAATGTTACCCACCTTGATGAGCAAGAACGCGTGTGACAGCAGGAGGCGCAGTCATTGTTGCCAGAGGTCAGATCATGTTGGGAGGATTTTGAATCGGCATCACCTACCCTACTGACATGTTGCTCTCACACCTTCGTTGTGTGAGATGCATACATCACCGACTGCAGGGAGCGGTCAGCTAACCCGAAGTTGAGAGGTTTTCTGCTATTGGTGTTGCCGATGAGGACCCCTTTCCCCGTGTGTGTCCGTGCAACGGCGTTGCTGGCAAGTGAATAAGATGAGACTAGGCGAGAGCTGTTGTCTGTTGTCTGGACATCTGGACCTGCAGCAGAGAGAGCCAGCACAATAGGACGAGCGGGGAGGCAGCTGTGCTCCCAATATTTCATCCGCGAGCCCCCTTTTGCCTTGCCCGTGGTCGTCCTCGTCGCAGTCACCTGTTTGCGGGCACTCTCCCGTTCAAAGCGAAAGACGTGAGAGGTTAACGACACACACACCCCTCCGGTGCCATGCGGCATCCGGTTCGGGATGGAATCCTCATCTTCTTCATGGCGTACTTCATCGTTATCTCGTACTTCCAGTCCGTGCACCACCGCCGAGCGATCGAGCTCGCCAACGGCGGCGGAAACAAGGAGACCACCGGTACCTCCGATGTTGTTGCGGAAGCACCACCCTCCACGATGAGCACATCGAGCTTGAAACCTGCTGCTGCTGCCGGCGGCAGCACCAGCAGCAGCAGCAGCAGCACCGGCGTCGCGAAGAAGAAGGCGGCGACGACGATGACAGAGCGGGCTTCCTCCTCTTCGTCGTCGTTTCAAGAGGAGGCCAGGCCGGTCGCAACAACTACAGCAGGACAATCCGGAGGCGGCCCATCTTCCCATCAGCAGCAGCAGCAACAGCAGCAGGAGCAGCAACAGGCGGGAGCTCCGGAGACGCCAGGATCAGCAGCAGGGACACCTGCCAGCAGCGAAGGCCCTGGCGAAGGTAGGGAGCAGGGCGTGGATGGCCAGGCAGGAGACGAAAGTGCCCAGGAGACAACAGACCAAGGTCTCCGGCCCTTTCAAGTTGCCGGTGAGGCCGCAACCCACGAGCAGCAGCAGCAGGGGGGCGGGGAGGGGCTTCGGCCTCTGGGAGAGTCTGCTGGAAGGGAAGACGGCGGCACGGAGGCGGGGGGTGGTTCTACTGATCGTGAGGCTGCCGCCGGCGGGAGTGCTTCTTCTGCTGGTTCCACGGTGAGCAAGCAATGTTGTTATCGCACCGAAATATATTGTAAGCCGCCGGTTTCACTATTTACTTTTCAAGTATAATAGTGAAAACTGCGGCTTCATGTTTTACAGCAGTTTGTTCAACTCTTAAACTTCAAGTCTGTAGTGCTTCTTGCATCTACTCAGCTGTGGGACAAACAACAATGGCTGATTGTGCACAAACTTCGGTTGGGTTAATCTCGAACGGGTAGTCTTTGTGTGTTTTCATGTACATAGCATATGCATACATTTTCTTAAAAATGGCAACGAACTCGGTCTCCTGGCTGGGTCGACAGATCAACGGGAGCACACGCTTTCTCTTCCTGTGGCCATGCGGGCTGTTGTTTTGTAACGTGAAGACGCTAAAACAGAGTGTCGTTGTGTTATCGACTCGTCATGGTCGCGTGTGATGCAGGAACAGGACGCAAATCCCTCTTATGTAGAATTGGTACCTGTGTTTATGCTACACGTCCTCTGCTCATGTTTTAAGGCGGCCAGAAGTCAACTCGACGGAGTGTTGAGGTCCTGTTGGTGGTGTGCTGCACTAAATATCATGTGCTGAGTTGTTGTTGTTGTTGTTGTTGTTGTTGTTGTTGTTGTTGTCTTCACATTAAAAACCGTTCCGTTCTCTCTGCCTATTATAGTACCTTCTTCTGTCCGTACTTGTCTAGCACTTGTGCTTCAACAAATATCGAGAAAGTAATGAAGGTTGGCCACACCAGTCGGCATTCATATATGTTGAGCCGTCGGCATATATGCAACACTTGAACGGCAGGGTTGCGATGAGGTATAGAGGGATGGGGTGAGCTGTTACTGCTGTACCCCCGGACGCCTTCCGTGGCCGCACAGGCCAACTACCCAACAAAAGGTGCACTACCAAGCGAACAAGGAATTAAGAAGGACAGAAAAAGTGCCACAACCGCGATAATACATGCATATTGTAGCGAACACGCAATAAAAAAGGCCAAACGACAAAAAAATAAACGCGTTGGCCAATCGAAGGCGCAGCGACGTGCACGTACTACGTACAGCAGTAGCGAGAGGCTCAGCGCGGGAGGGGGGGGGGGGGGGGGGGTAGAGGCGCTGCTGCTTTGCTCGGTCGTGGTCTGCGTAGAGATGCACCAATGTTGAGCCGGCGAGTTCTAACTTTGCAGAGAACTCGCGGGCGCAGTATTGGTGTACATGTAACACTTGTAGCCCACCACGAGGACGGCAGCAGCTAGCTCTACACCGGCAAGCACAAAGGACCCGCCGGCGCCACATTGGTGGCATCTCGACGCAGGCCAAAGACCGAGGACAGCAGCAGCAAATAGCATTGCGTGGCAGCCGAGTGTACTCGACTGGTATTATTTAGGGGCTCGACACAGCAGCAGAATCAAGGTGTCCAGTATCAAGATGTCCCATCGAGGGCTCGAGGACCATTGAGTTTAAGCTTAACCGTGCATCCCGTCGGGAATTGCTGTGCTAGCAGGCCTACTTCATTTAATCATATGCCCTGCCAAAACCAGGGAAATAATACAATAAACAAACCATGAACCCCCAAAATAGTCTCCCACACACCAAAATCAATTAACCAATAATTAGTAAACACACGACAATAACTCCCCAAAACCAGGAAATATATCGCGTTGGTCATTCCGCAATGTCTCATGTCAACCATGGCTAGACATCTGCCAGCTTCCGACTTGTTGTTGTTGTTGTTGTGTTCACATTAAAAACCGTTCCGATCTCTCTCTACCCAGTACCTTCATATGTCCGTATTGATCCCAACACTCGACGCCGTCGATTCCCGTGGTCACAGGCTAACTTACCCTAAAAATGTACGCTCAAACAAACTGGCCCCGAGGGGTCCGCAAGTCAATAGAATTCAACGACAGATTCTGGAGTCCTCCGCTCCCTCTGCGCGTTATGCGAGGTAACAACTGAGACTAGGAGTCAGCATCACGGGCCGGAGAGAAAGAGGTACACCCCCTTGGTTCAATCTTGGTGCTGAAGAAGACAGAAAAAAGAGGGACAAAGAGAAAAAAGAGAAAAAGAGAAAAAGAGAAAAAAATAAAAGGAAACAGCAAGAAAAGAGAAGAGAAAAGAAAACGAAAAAGAAAACGAAAACGAGAAAGATCGAGGACAGACAGGGACCAGGCCGAAAATAACAAGAAATAAGAGACAGAATAAGGCACACGGTGGAGAGACCACTAACGAACGAACAAGCAAACACGCAAACATGACCACCAACCAGCGATACATGGTAGTGGTACGTCATCACTATAATAGTGGGGGGTTGGTGCAATGGTGCAGCGTTGGGGGGGGGGAATTGGCTAAAAGAAATTCAATCCGGCACGTATCACGCCACTCGGTCCGTCTCTTCTCGTTTACTTTCTTCCCTCGCCGTCTCGTCCGTCTCCTGCCCCCCTCCCGCCCCATTGGTTGTTGGCTTGTGGTCTCGTTTGAGCGCTCGTTGTCGGCTGGCCTCTTCTTCCTTCTTGTGCCAGGAGGTCATGAACCTCTCAGCTTCCTGCAGCACCGCCGCATGCCAGGGTACTCCCCCCTCCACCTTCGCGGCTTCCGTCCACTTTATCTTCGGTGCCGTGTCTTCCGGTACCGGGATTCCGAGACAACATGGATCGGTTTTCGTAGATCCGTGGTCGGCCCCGAATGCCTTCAGGTCGTCGAGCACACACTTCGGCCAGTTCTGTTCCTGTCTCCCCCTACGTCGCTTCTCCCCCCCCCGCCAGTTCGCCGAGCATCAGTCGTTTCGGGAGTCGCCCGTCCGGCTGCCTTGCCACTGCTCCCGCGAACAGTAGGCGTCGTTGTCGGATCGTGGCTTCAACGCTCTGGCATCCGACCCTCTTCATCGTCTGGGCGTAGGAAAGCTGCCGGTAGGTGTCTTTCTTGCGCTTGTACTCGATAACTCGAAGGAGCAGTCGGTGGTGTATCGTGTCGACCGCAGCGTCTGATAGTGGCCGATGAGTGGTGACCATGTCATGCAGCCGTACAGCAGTGCCCC